GGCCTGCTTGTTGTTTGCTTGCCATGATGAGCACCCAATCTAAGGCCTTACACACATGGGGCAAACACTCTACCACTGAGCTACACCTTGGCCTTTCCTCAGCATACATACATTTTCTCTTAATTCAGCTCCATTTATCTAATCATTCATTCTCCAAGAAGCAGCTAGTCATTTCTGCTCAGCAAGGTTACTTATTAATTGACGAAGCAAAGGTGCTCTGTTACAATTAATCTTTCTGCCAAAAGCTGCCTGAGCCCCACAGCCACGTGTGAGCTTTACACCAGCCGCCCGCCTGAGTTAGGCCCAAATTAATACACAGAAACTTGTATTAGGTTCAAAGCTGCTTGGCAAATGACTAGGATTCCTCATCTGTTAGCTCAGTCTTAATTATCATAAATCTATATATTTTATAAGACTTATCTTATTGGACGCCTTATTGGCATCCCTCCTTGCCAGTGGCTCACATCCTGCCGCTGGAGGAGGTGAATGGGAAAAGAGGGCCCTTCCTGTTTCTCCTTTGTTTAAATATGAGTCTCCTTTCTATGTCACTTCCTGCCAGGATCAACACTTCTCTACTACATTTCCCAGAATCCTCTTTGACTCCTAGACCCGTCTAACTTGCTGTTTCATTGGCCAAACAGTATTTTATTTAACAATCAATGAGATAAACATACACAGTACATTCCCCATCAGTGCTCCTCCAATGATGTAGGGGATCAAACTTCTGAAGTAAACTCACAGCACTCATACTCCTACTCCAAACCTCCAAACTCTCCCCACTGATGGTATAAAGACACAGTCTGAAGAGCTCTCTCTGGAGTCTAGAGTTGGAACAGACTCTGGCCTCCTGATATCACTCAAATCTTTTCTCTTAAATATGTTTTTGTTAATTCTTTGAGGATTTCATACAATGTAATTTGATCATACTCACCACCACTACTCTCCCTAACTCCTCACAGATCCATTTCCCACCTGGCTACCCCATAACTTACTGTCATTCTTTTTAAATGACATTTTGAGGCTAATTTGTGCCACTCATACACTCCTGAGTGTGATGCCATTTGCTACACCCTTAAAAAAAAACTGGCTCTCCCTCTCTCAGAAGTAATCTACTGTCAGTATTTCCTTAGTTAAGAGTTGGGCCTTGTGGGGCTGGGGTGGTGGTACCATACACCTTTAATCTCAGCACCCGGGAGATAGAGGCAGGCGGATCTCTGTGAATTTGAGGCCAGCCTGGTCTACAAAGAGAGTTCCAAGAAAGGCCTCAAAGCTACACAGAGAAACCTTGTCTTGAAAAACCAAATCAAAAAATAAAAAAGGGGGGAAACTATAAGCAAAGGCAGAGTCAAACTGCCTCAGGTTAGCCCCAAACCCTACATCTACTCAATGGCAAGTTATGTAATCTCTACCCATGATAGTATGATTCTGTACATCAAAGAAATGCTAAGTTGTATTCTTTACCTACGTATTTTCTAATATTGTTAAATATTAACTTGGGGTGGGGAGGACAAGACCTCAATCTGTAGCCCAAGCTGGCCCCACTTGTGGCAGTCATTTTGCCTCAGTCTCCTGATTGCTGAGATTTCCAGGCACATGTCACAATACCTGCATTAAATACTACTTTTGCAGCTGGGTAGATGGATCACCTGATAAACTGCCTAACACACGGGCCTGAGGAGCTGAGTTTAGGTCTCCAGCACCTATGTAAAAGCCGGACAGAGTAGCAACCACCAGTCACTTCAGCATGGATACAGGCAAAGACAGGCAGATCTCTGGAACTCATTGGCTGGCTAGCCTAGACAAATTGATCGGCTCTGGGCTCAGTAACAGATCTTGTCTCAAAAAATAACATGGTTAGTTCTTGGGCATGGTCACACATGCCTTTAATCCCAGCACTTGGGAGCCAGAGGCAAAGAGACTTTTTTGAGTTCAAGGCTAGCCTGGCCTATGGCAAGTTCAGGTCAGCTAGGACCACATAGTAAGAACTTATCCCAAAGGAAAAAAAAATCATGTAAAAAGGAAAAGGAAGATGATTGAATAAGTCAGCTGATGTTGATCTTTGATCTCTACACACTTGTGCGCACATGTACACATGCATACTTTAATTTTGGATATACACATACATACAAAATAAATAAATAATATATAAATTATAGGCCATATACATATATATATGCATAACTTAACATAAGACATTCTCAACTTTAGCTTCTTTTTAAGTAGGGTCGCACTATGTAGTGCAGATACACCTGACCTCATGATACTCATACTTCAGTATCTCTGGGGGGAACTTAAAGTTGGTCATGTAACTCTGTCTATTGTTATTCCTTTTTAATTTATATTTATTTTAGTTTGTGTGTGTATATGAGTATTCAGCATGCTAGTATGTATATACAGTGCACATGTGCCTGATGCCTACAAAAGTCAGAACAAGTTTTTAGATTCCCTGGAACTAGAGTTACAGATGGTTGTGAGCCATCATGTAGGAGCAACGAACCAAACCTGGGTCTTCTAAAAGAACAAGTGCCCCAAACTGCTGAGTCATCTCACCAGTCCTGTTGTTAGTCTTTTAAAATAAATCATAGAGATTTTTTTCTATGCCACGTTATATTATAT